CAGTATGAATCCTGGGTTTAAATTCAAAAGGAAAAAGATAAGGAAAGAAGGTAATGTTATTTATGCACAAAAATAAAAGGAAACAAAAGACAGTTTTGTGTCACCGTTTGTATCTAAGCGATCATTGTATATATGTAAACCTCTAAGGTGAAAACGGGCACTGGGTGAAAGTGTGTCCAGTGTTTTGGCCGAAATACACCAACACTACCGCAAATTCATTGGTGTTTGCGTAGTCTTGTTCTTCAGACGGAGGTGCTAGGGAAGAATACGTTTTTCGCAAAGTTGCATCGCCTCTCGTTGCATGGATTTTATACAATATGAGTTAGACCGTAGTGTACTGCCGTCGTTCTGTCGCGTCCTGATGTCATGCAGTCGTGTCGTGTCGTCGTGCGTCGTATCGTGCAGCTGTGCGTTACAGTTTCTGAAAATGACTGGTGATTATCACGGCCAAAAGAGGGCGTATGACACAAGTCCTGAGAAATATAATGTGCGTGCATAGGGCCTGTAAGATATGATCATGTGATGGTATCTGTTAGTATGGAACTTAGCTCCGTTGCTTAAGGCGTCCTTATTTCCACCAGTAATGAGGCGACAGCGAGAGCACGATTCCCGTGACGCAACAAGTTCACGGCAACGGCTGAAGGGCAAGACCTTACGGGTCGACGGCACGACACAACACAGCATACAAGTAATGAGAAAAGAGGCGATGCCATGACGCGACAGACCTGTCGCAGGGTCTCAACGCAATTTGTCGTCTATGGAACACCATACAAGAAAGAAACAATACGAGCTGTCGTCACTGGACGCTGATTTAACGGTACAGCCCGGCCCTCATTGGCAGAAATGATGTATGCTCGTACAGACAAGTCAGTTTCCTAGTGCCTTTGACTCGGTGTTAGTTTTGCAATTACAGCTCCCTTGGAGAAAGGAGCTGTTTGTAATAATGTTATGAGACGTGAAATTCCCTAGAGAAAAATATAAATTGAAGGTGTAACAACGCAGGCTGTAACGCAATGGAAGATGTCTAACGTAAAGACAATAGGTTGTTGCTGCCACATTCCCTTTAAGTGTAAAACACAAAATCTGTTTAGCAAAACAAAACAAAAATAAAAGAAAAGTGTTAAAAAAGAACCAAGGGAAATTTCGGCATTGCTAGGCCGTGCATGTGGTGGACATCAAAGGTGAAAGACAAGTTAATACATTGTGGATACTTCAAAACATATCAGGCAGTTTCAAGAATCTGACATTAAAAACAAATTGGATGAATGATTTTGGTCAAATTACCAGGTGGCACCAGACGTGACGAGTCTCGGCTGTAGTCGAAATCCTTTGACCA